GATGAAAAGTAGATATTTAAGACCTAGGGAGAATAAGGGGGATTATGAGATGTTTTGAGGCGTTGATGAAGCTGCTTTAACTGCAGTCAAAATGAAAGGTGAAGGAAGCAAGATTAAGGGTGGGGAAAGGGGAGGAGAAGAAAAATGCAGGAGAAGAATCATGCTGTTTAACATCTCTGTTTTGGGTGATGGTTCATTTAGGCATTACTTTTTGGTCAATATATTATTTTTCAAGTATGAAACCTCTATTTTTCCTCAAAAAAAAAAATAAAAAAAATAAAATAAAAATTATGAAACCTCTAGTACTTATGAAAATATTCAAAATTAACTACATGTAAGTATCTCATTGAATTGCAAATAGCAAAGATTCTGAATTCTGTAAGTTTGTTCACTTTAAAAGAATTGTGCTGAAGTTCTTAAAAGAAAATGCTGGTGAGTGGGTAACACGTTGTCAATTTAAGCTTACAGAAAGTGTGGCATGGCTTATGTTGGAGTTTACTACCTTTCTGCAGATTCCAGCCATAAGAGAATACCTGCACTTACTAAGTACATGTGCCCCAATTCATACTTCTATAGTAGCAATGAAAAAGTGAAGCTTTGCTTACATCAAAAGTGTACTACCTTTCTGTAGATTCCAGCCAAAATCCAAATTGAGTGTTTGACTAGTATACTAGTAATAGATGTGAAGCATGCTCCTGTTAAGGTGGCACTAGGTTGGAATTATTCTGATACTGCTGGAAAGATCTATCCACCTTTAGTCTCCCTATTTTCATATGTAGAGATATATTTCTTGGAGTATATTCTCCAAGTTTGACATATTATGAGTTTGCTCCAAGTATGACCATGGGTCGGGCATACCACATCTTAAGAAGCGTTTTAATGTTTCAGTTACTTTTAGTTACTTCTAGACACGTTAGTGCTTTATCAATATCTATTGTTTGCTGTTATGACGTAATCTGAACTATGGAGTATACAAGAATAGGAAACGAGGTTCAGGTTCAGTTCAGTTCAGTTCACAGGATTGCCTTTGCGTAATAAACCCTTTTGGGTTGTTCTTCTCTTGAAACAACAGTCTAATCTAAAAAGTAGACACATTGGGTTACATTCTAATCACTTGTGGGTGATGTGCTCCTACTTTCAGTTATCAGAGGCCAAAGAACCCTTCTCATCATGTCTTAGAGCATTTGAACTCCAGAAATAACATTGGCAGTTATTTTTTTTTTTGTTTTTTATTTTATTATTTTTTTTTTTTTGTTTTTACATTTGAGATATGATCTGTTTAGAAAATAAGCCAATTTATTTATCTTAGAAGTCGAAAGCAAGAAGCAGAGATATGATCTGTTTGGTTTGGATGTGTCCTGTCACTCCTGTGAATCTGTGATAATGTATTGCCTTTTTAGACTAGTTATTTGAAGTAGGAGTGGGAGAAATATGCACAAATACCTCTTTTGGGAAATATTCAGACTCATTAATTACCAAAACCATGCTATATACAATTTGACCGCTAAAATTTATCAAAACACATTCAAGGCTTTCAGCTGGATACTGTATTAGTGTTAAACACATCGCTTTATAGGAGGAAGTGTTGGAGGGAAGCTAGTGCATCATATGCAAGAAGAAAGCTGCTAAAACAAAAAATAACTGCGTTTTTTATCTTCTCAGAAGTACATATACATGCCACTTGAAAGACAAACAGCATAACATTTAATCTGGCTTCTAAAAGTTTTCCCTTTGCTATGCTGCTGCAGCCTAGAAGCTCTTAACAATAAAGATGAAAAGCCGAGAAGAAAATGGATGATTCTTGATTAGAAGGCTTGTAAATGTTTTAGTATGTTCTGGGGGCACCAGTAAAGACTTTTTTTTGTACTGAAAGATTGCATTGTCTTTTCTCATAGGTGGGAAGCTAAGCGTATTCCAAAAGTTAAGATCGCTAAGCTTGAAATCAAAATCAAGGACCAGAGTGTTTACATGCCCGATATACCTGATATCGAAGAGTGCCCTCCACATCTTGTTCCACAGAGGCCATGGGTAGATGAGTTCATTGCTGACTTTTCGAAGTTGAGGCTGGTAAGTAGTTTGAATTTTCTTATTTTCCATTGATATCTAGTAGCAAATTAAATTCTATTAGAGTTCAATCATTGACCATTGACCTATATTTTCTTGGCTGTAGGCTCTATCAAGCCTTCAGAATACCAGTGATGCTGTTTCTGCCGACTCAGAATCAGTTATTTTTGCTCGCCATGAACTCAAGAGTAACGCCTCTCCGAATTTAGCGTCACTTAAGCTGACATCAGGAGCTCCAACATTATCTGCAGTCTTAGCAATGGACCCTGTAACTAGAGTCACTATGCTGAGAAGACGCATAAGCTTGTTTGAGAGTGCAAGTGATTTGTCAAAGGAAGATTGTGCATGGCTCTTTGCTCTGTGTGCAGTAATTGAGACTCCATTGGATGCTGATACTTGTGCATCTCTCCGCTGTTTGCTTCGAAGTTGTGCTAAATTGCGGGCTGAAAAAGCTGAAATTGATGATGAGGTCATAATGCTAAATGTTTTGGCAACAATTTCTGGGAGGGTTTTTGGACAGTCAGGAAATTGATGAGTTATGTTATACGAAGTACTTATTTTGATTAAGCTCATTTTGCCCTATGATTAGTTTTACTAAATTTGTATACTTTGGGATAATTTTGACTACATTAACACTGTATATATGTTAGTCCTAATTTAGTAATTTATACAGGAAATTTTACTAAATAACACCAGGAAAAACACAAAATTTTGATTATAACACCATAAAATTTCAAAGTTTTATTATAACACCACTTAAAAAATTAAAATTTTGGTTTCACCACCTAAATGGTTACCACGTTAAAGGAACTGTTAGTTGGGCCCACTGCAATGGCTATTTTTTTTCAAAGTCTTTTATATAGCTGCGATATCCTTCACAATCATTCAACTGTTGATCTGTTTACACAAAATTAGGGTTCAAATTTTGCGAATTCAACAATCAAATTGCCCAAATTGTTTGATTTAAGCATCATTGTTCGGGGAGGAAGATTTGAAATCAGGTAGTTGCTTCAATACCACTGCAGAAAACCCTAATTTATCTTTCTTAAATGTTATGTAAATCAATCTATGTTGTTGAATTAAGTGCATAATTCAGTTCGCATGTGTAAGTAATCATATAATTCGTACTTATTTCATGAAGTATGCGTGTTAATTGTCCTCATATTTGAGAAAAAATGAACTTAGGGTTCATCGCAAAAATAAATTGGGGGTTTTAATTTTTAGGACTGATTGTTTAACTTCCTTGGTTCATTTGTATGGTTTTTCATAGTAGGAATGGTTTTGCTTATTGTGGATGGCATATTGATGCAGGAGATGTCTTTCATAAGTTCCTCTCCTTCAAGGGAGAAGAAGTGCAAGTGTGGCGTTCCTTTTGCGAAGCTTACCAGTTGAACAAGGGATAACCCTAATCGGAAGTTCAGAACATGCAAGTTCTATGATGCTGTAACTGAAAGCAGGGACTTGTAAAGCATTTGAATGGGTGGATGAACCTAATGGGACAGCCTGGCAACCAGAGGTGATCAACAATTTGTTGTTGGACAAGAAGCTGTTGAAGGGAGAAATTACTGACTATAAAACGGAAGTTGATGATCTTGGTGGACAGATGAGGTGTTTGCTCAATGAAGTGGACAGCCTAAAGATGAAATGCAAGGCTTTAAACTCAGATAGGAAGAAGAATAACAGAGAGATGCATGGAAGAAATGGAAGATCAGAGCACTCTGTTCTGTGTGTTGCTTTTGGGATTAGTTTAGTAATGCTTAAAATGTTAGTGATGGTAGTTATTGGGGGGTTTGTAATGCTTAAAATGTAATTTGTCCTAAGGCATGAACAATACTAGTAAGGCTTTTGTAATGGTTTATAGTGGCATTGAACCACTTTTGCAATGTATTGTATACAATATTTTGGATGGAATGATTAAAGCAACTACTTAGTAATTTGAAATTGCATTGAAACCATATGAGCAAATTACTTGCATTACTTAACAAAATAGGCTTTTAAAGCCTAACACCAGAGTATGACTTGATCAAAATAAGCTTACAAAGCCTAACACCTAAACTATGAGTTCAAAAAACAACCTCTAAGTGTTACACTTAGTCTACTGCATGCTAATGTTCAAAATAACAACCTAAAAGTCTAGTTTTGAAAAAGGAAACAACAGCTAGTTCATTGAGTCAAATTTGCATGTTTGAAAGTCTGTAGCTTAGCAAACTCCTTGTCTGCACTCCAATATGTTGCATTATGTCTCTGTTTCTGGGTTCAAGTTGACTGGAAGAGGGGGTGATATGTTGGTTGGACCTTGGCTGGGCTTGTTGACTATTTGAACCTTTCTCTTGCTGAGTGGTTCACAGCCTAGTTGCTCTTGGGGAAAAGTCTTGTTCCCAATGCTATTTGGACCAACCCCTACTGCACTCTGTGGTTAACAGAGAAAAAAACAAGTTTCAACATCTAATTGCATCACAAAATAAAAAGTTTCAACATCTAATTGCATCACAAAATAAAAAAAAGAAAAGAAATTGAACAAGTACCAAAGAATACCTTCTTAGCAGCTCTAATCTCACTCTTCTTCCTCTGATCTACTATCCATGGGGAGGTTAAAGGGGGGTCTCCCTGCAGATCTTTGCTCAGTTGGTTCAAGTATAGTTGGGAGCTTGCAAGTCTTGGCATAGTGGAAAAATCCACCACAATTCCTGCATTGTTTTTTTCCTTTTCTTTCCTCCCTGCTGCCCCCCTGCTGTAGAAGTTCCCTCACCAGGCTCCAGCTTTCTTTTCTTCAATTTGGGCCTTCCAAGCTGCACCTTGAAGGCTGGTGGCTGAGGCTCTCTCATGTTAACTCTGCCCTAATGCTTTGGCCCTGACATTGGTTGAATTGCAGGCTCATATGCTGCTCTGTAGGTGGCTATACTGTAATAGGGGTGGACATATTGCTCAGCATCACTTCATTGATCCATTATGCATGCAAAGGCATGAACACATGGGATGCCTGTAAGCTGCCAATGATTGGAGGAACAAGTCCCATTTCCCAAGTCAACTAGAACCTGGTCATCCTTCAATTGCACTTCATAAGTGTCATCCTTGGCAGCTTGAACAATGCAATTCTTAGACACATAGCTCATCCTTTGAAACAGCTTATGAACATATGGAGTCAAGTTGCTTGTGATTTCCTTGGAGTCCTCCCACTTCTCATTGTTTCTCCTCATCATGTACCTCTTCATCCATTCCATTTGGGTGAGGATAAGTTTGTCCCTTGCATCTCTAATAACTGCATTGAAAGTCTCACACATGTTGTTTAGTAACATGTTGGACCTGCAATTGTCACTGAATGCATGTCTGCACCAGTGTTGAGTAGGGATATTGTTCAAGTAATCATAAGCCTCCTCATCAAGCTCCTTAATCTGTTGCATTAGTATTTCATACTCAAGCTACAAACACAACAAGAACAGTGTTCTAGTCAAGCTCTTAAATTTGTTCATAACAATCTAAGCTACACACACAACAAGAACAGTGTTCCAGTTTAAAACAATCTAAGCTCATTGAATCCAGTTCAATTTCATAGTTTAATTTGTTCAAAATAATCTAAGCTACAGACTTACATATGTTGTTGCTCTTGCAACACTCCTAAAAAGCTCCTTGAAAATTGATCTAGTGAACTTAGCTTGAAATTTGCCCAAATATGCCTAACACAGAACCTTGTTTCTGCATTTGGCACAACTTGAGCTAGAGCTTCAACCAGTCCCTGTTTAACAGCATCCAAATACAGTTATCATACTTCACAAAATAAAGAACAAGACACATTAAAGACTAGAAAAAAACAAGACAATTTTACCTTATGCTTGTCTGACATGAAGGTGAAGCATGACCAATCTGCACTCCCAAGGCTATGCATTAGTGATTCCAGGAACCAAACCCAAGTTTCCCTATTTACAACCTCACAAGTTGCCCAAGCAATAAGGTAAATGTTGTTGTTTCCATCTTTGGACACTGCAACTAAAATCTGCCCTGGGTAAGCTCCTTTCAAGTGGCAGCCATCCACCCCAAAGATTGGCCTACAACCCTTAAAGAAACCATCTTTCAAAAGCCTCAAACAAACATACATTCTCATAAAAAAGGGAGGCTCAAGCTACTCAATTCCATCTACCACCACATTACAACCAGACCCTAGGTTGTATTTCATTATAGCCTTCCCATAATCCCAGACCCTTGCATATTGCTCTCTTGCTGAACCAAAAATTATCAACTTAGCTCTACATCTTGCCATCCAAGCCCTAAAGTAGGTCACTTGAACCCCCAGGTCTTACAACACCCTATCCCTGATCTGCTTAATTTTCTAGGTAGGGTTACTTCTGAACTCCTCAAGGTACCTCTCTGCAATGAACTCTGCAGTGACCTTCTTGTTCTCCCTGCTTCTCACACATCTATGCTTTAACCTCATGCTTTTTATTTTCCAAGTCTGCTGTCTAACTAACTTCATAGCATGGATCTTGAAATTGCACTTCACTCCACCCTTGCATATACACAAAGGCATCGTACTTGTCTTTGTGTCAAACTTACAGCCACATCTATTCCTACACTGAATAGTAATCCTACTACTATCATTGTGTAAAAAGTAGTGTTCATACCTATTCTCTATGGCATGCACTCTTAGAGCTTTCCTCAAAACTAAAACATTGCTGAACTTAAGCTTATTAACAAGTACAACAGGCTTAGTGAAGTCAGTTTTCTCATTAAACCAAGGACTGTTGTCCTCTTCATCTGATGAACCATCCAAGCTCCTTAGCTCATCTGATTCTCCCTCGAAACTCACTCACATCTAAGTTCTCATTCAACCTTGACCTAGGATCCTTTACAACCCCCTGATCATGTACATCCAACTGCTTCCCAAGACTTCTTGTTACCTTCTCCAAAATCTCTTTAGAATTCTGTATAAACCACCTTTCATCCCCACTATCATACTCCTCCTCACCAGGCTCCCAAGTTATGTCAATGTCACTCCTATCAGCAGAAGAATACCCCTCCTCAGTCCCAGATTCACTACCCTCACTAGTATCCTCAAAAACCAATCCTTTAGCTACATATTTCTTTTTCCCTTCTCCTTATCCAACACCTTCCCACAACTAGAAACCCTTTCAAACTTAGCTTTACCTTTCCCCTTATCCAACAACTTCCCTCTATCAGAAACCCCCTCACTCTTAGCAGAAACCCCTTCACTCTTTCCTATCCCCTTACCCTTATCCTGTCTAGATCCAGGTTTAGGAGAATCTTCCCTTTGACTCACCTCAGGGCCTGTTTGTTAAGTCTTGGGCTCTTCCTAATTGGTACAGTCTTTCCTATACTTTTCTTCCCCTTTCTCTCAGCCTTTTCTGGAGTGGACTGGGCCTCATGTATGGGCCTTAAGGGTTCATCTGCAGTCACAAAAACTTCCACATACCCTTCCACATTGACTTTCTCTAACATCCCCTTCACTTCCTCTTCATTTACTATTTCCCTTCTCCCTGTGTTAGAGGTCCTACCTCTTTGTTTATACCACAGTCTGTAGTTTGGAGGGACATGGACATTATAATTCACAAACCCATGCACAACAGCTTCCGTCAAATAATGTACATCTATCTTATCCACTACCACATCCCTCCTCCAATAACATAACCCACCACACCAGCAAAGCAAATGTTTTGTTTTTGACACTCTTTTGGGAACAAAAGCACCCCCAACTTTGAATACTATATCAATTAATCCTTCTTGGTTGTTGGCCATTTATCTACCTAATAAACAGATGCAAAGCAAGTCAACAAAAGCCAACATATCTTACCCTAATTACACAGTCAAACGCACTACTTTAATCAACAAAAGCAAACATATTTTAAATCAAAACAAGGACAAACCAATCAACAGGTCACCAAAATCAATGAATTAACGTAAATAATTAACCAATTACACCAATTCATACGTAAATAAATCACATTCTACTTTAATTACAAGTTCGCACAGTACACAAAGTAAATCACACCCAATTTTACTGGTTTTAGGGTTCCTACTTTTTTTTTCCCAAATTACCCTACATTCCTCATGAAAATGGCATAATTAACTTCAACAGTTGCTGAAAAAACTACTTTAAAGGGTTCGAAAGGTACCCCTTTTGGAATCTTGCTGCTGTTTATGTCAGAATCCACGAAAATCCAAGCTTTTTTGTTGTTGAAAATGGCTGACGACTTCTGGCTGAGTTGGCTGAGCTATTTTGCTCCAATACTGACACCTCCCTTTTCAATTCAATTTCTCAACCACACAGTTCAACTTAGGGTTTGATTCTTGACAGTAATTTTGGTTGTTGAATATTAACAAAGAGAATTCAATGAAGGAGGAGTAGTTGGGTAATCAATGGAAGGATATAGAATCGAATTGAGGAGGATGAAATTTGGAGGGTAAACTAATTTGTGGCCCCCACACATATTTGCCGTCACAGATTCTGTTATCTGGTGGTGAAACCAAAATTTTAATTTTTTAAGTGGTGTTATAATAAAACTTTGAAATTTTGTGGTGTTATATCAAAATTTTGTGTTTTTTTTCTGGTGTTATTTTCTAAAATTACCATTTATATATGTTGATTTTGTATTAGAACTTACCTGAGAGATAGGATAAAGTGATTTATGTTGTCCGCAAAGATGCATCCTTCTTGAGCATTTCTTAGCTCATTTTTTTTTCTTTTTTTTTCTTTTTCCAAATATTAGTGTCCTTAATAATGTGTGCATGAGCTAGACCGATTACACCAGACTCATTTCAGCTGGTGGCTTGGTTATATGTACTGTAAAAAAAAAAGAGGACAAAAAGTCGAAGATAGATTGCAAGACTGCTTAGAATCGATTATTTTAATGGCCAACCCTATTTTTGTACCTTGTCAATGATTGAACTTTGATAGATATTATAGTTATGATAATATTTGTCGCAGATTAGGATAATAATTGTACGTATTTTGTATCCTTATTATACTAGGTTTACGATATTTGTAAAACTCTATATATTGATCAATGGTACACTCTCCAGATTGAGGATTTTTCCCGAAATCTAACATGGTATCACAGCTTAGGTTTTAGATCCAAATTTTTTATTTTTCCAATTTTTTTTGGTTTTTTTGTTTTTAATTTGGGACCTTAGCTTAGCTCTGCATTCTTCTTTGGTTAATTAATTAACCAAATTCTTTACAGCTTGTTCCTTCCACCTTGCTTTTCTGTTATTTTGTCTTCTAGTAAGCATTTGACTTTGGCAATTAGTGCTTATAATCATATTTTCACTACTAGAAATAGGCTTAATTCCGACGGACTAAAATTCCCTCTAAAAATTTGAAATTTCCGGCGGAAATTGGATTTGTAGGAAAAATCCGTGAGAAAAATTCCGACGGATTTGAATTCCCTCGGAATCAACCTTTTCCGACGGAATATTCCGTCGGAAGAGGTTAATTCTGAGAGAATTAATTCCGTCGGAACGTTACAGCAAATTAAAAAAAAAAGCTGCAGTTTAATTCGATTTTTGCGACAGAACAAAAAAACCAAAACAGGAAGAGAGAGAAAGGGAGAAAGAGGAAGAAAGAAGGAGAAAGGGAGGACACCTTGCCTCCACCACCAGCCGCCGCTTTGTCGCCGCCGGTGTAAGTAAGTGTCTTTTTTTGGTTTTTTTTTTTTTTTAAATATTGCGGAAAACCCTAACCACCACCACCACCACCTAGGCTTTACCGGATTTCACCATTAGGAGCTCCGAATTTCACCACAAACACCAAGGCTTCACCGGAATTCACCATAAGCGCCGCCGGTTGAATAGTGGTAAGTGTTTACCCTTTTTTTTTTTTTTTTTTTAAATACACTGTTTTGGGGTTTTTTAGGGGGTTTTTATGTTTTTTTTTTTATTTATTTATTTTTTGGAATTGCTACTAACAACCACGACACCAGCCGGCCGCCGGTCTGCAACCACAACGACGCCCAGCCACCGCCGACGGCAGGTTGTCTTTCCTTTTTTTTTTCTTTTTTTCATTACAACTTTTTAGCATTTATTCATTTTTTTATATACATTGCTAGGCACAAACTTAATTCCTAATTGTTTAATTTGAATTTTTTGTAGGATTTGTAGATTTACTTGGTTTTTTGGCAATAACAAGTGCAGATCTACAGGTTAGAGACTATATAAAACCTAAAATTATAAGTTTAGTTTATACTTGGCATGTTAGTCGGTAAATGTATTTAGATATATGTTAGTTTATTATTGTTTTTAAGAAGTGTATACAATTTGTTGTATTTATATTTTAATATGTTGAAATATTTGAAATGAATTTGTTTGTGTTAGATATGTTAGTTTAGTTTTGTTTATTTAAGTTTAGTTTTTAATTGTTGTATTGTAACATGTTAACATAGTTTGGTTTAGTTCATTATGATAATGTATATTAGTTTAGTTTATTTTATTTTAGTTTTGTTTATTTTAGATTAGTTTAGTTTAATGTAGTGTTTGTTAGTGTATTTAGTTTAATATTTTTGTTTGATATAATGTTGAATATAATATTTAGTAATTGTGCTTATTTATTTGTTTAGTTTAGTTTAATTATGATAAATCTCTGTGTAGTATAATGCATATGACCTTCACTTTATATATATATAATAAATGAATCATTTGCATAATCATTTGCCTAGATACCCGTTCAAGGCATACACATTAGGAGTATGTCTTGAATAGTCCCTGGTTGGGACTGTCCTTATACGCTTATTCTCATTTAGGTGGTGAATGTAAGCCTTGCTTTTGATTCTAGGGAAAATCGTGCCTTTTCATTTCTCTACAGTGTTCTCTGGGTACATATGTAGGTGTGTTCAATCGCCTACATCGTGTACTTGGAGAACTGTAGGGAAATACTAGCGGATTTTCCGTAGAATTGAAAACCTGGCTTACATTCACTAGTGGGATTAAATGTACAAGGATGGGTTAGGTTGGAGTGATAAGGACCCTTTGGAAGCATTTCAAATCTCATTTTCATTTCCATAACACTTTGATGGATAATGATTAGGAAATACGCTTTGTGCCTAATGTGATTATACATATGCGTGAGTTGTGTAGAAGTTGTAATCA